CTTGCCACTGTTTGCAGTCGAGAAAGGTCTTGATCAAATTCACAGCCCCTATTGTGGGAAGGCTTCCTGTGTCACAGTGAATTTAAATGAAAAGTCTGCATGAATAGCTAGCATACAGTCTCTGCAAAATGGAACAAACCAGCTGCACAATGCCAAGAATTGTCAAGGCATGTGGTTTGGAAAACACTACAATGTAAGTTTATAGCTGCAGCTCAATTCATTTCCTGAGAGGCAAGATAATGCTGTAGAAGAATGGATGCTATACGGTCCCTCTCTATATGGCAGAGATTCATCTGTTAGGAAGTTTATTTCATTGGCATTCTTGTTGATCAAACTGCTCAATGCAAGGCTGCAGAACAAAGAAATTTCTTAAATTACTGGGGGAATAAATTAGCACTTATAACATGCTTTGAAAATTCAATTGCATTCTATAGCAAAAAGCAAGTCCCTCAGTGTATATAGAATCCCATTCCACAGACCATTGTTTCCTTCCTGCTGCTGAAAAATGGCTTAAATAAAATCCTACCAGTTTAATGCTGAATACGTGTGTGTTTCATTGCTTTTAGAGCTTTTCTGTAACTTTTTTTTTTCTAGTTTCTTAATCAGGATTTTAACCCTCGCTTCAATCAAATTTGCATTCATGAGAGGCTGCATGTTATACAAAGTGCATTCATGTGCATCTGTGAGCACTGCGTATCTGTGGAAATAAAGCATCTCAATCACATTCAAGCTTTGTTTATCCGTGCCAGGTAAATTTTGGAAACACAGTGTATGCGAGCGTTCCTCACTGAGATAAAAAAGCAGTTTGAAGCAGTTTGAAGGCTGTTGTCAACCAAAACGAAGTAAAAATGAGCAGTTTCTTGGCAAGTGTCTGCATGGCAGTGGGGAGACAGTGGCTGCAGAAAAAGGCTTATTTTTACTTTTGTAAAGAAGCAATATATGCCTGTTGCTTGAGGTGTATAAGCTAAAAATGTAAAATGAAAGAAATAAGTGAGAGGGTCCATACAGTAGCAAGAGACAAAAGTCTATATATGTGTATGTTTTTATTTCCTATGGCACGTATGTCTACATGGCTATAAACATACAAAATGCTGTGAGCTTGCTAAAAATACCTTTTCTAAAACCCCTGTCCTATCTCCTCCGTGGCCAGCAGTGGGTGACCCTATTGGCAGCTATTTCTGTAGTCCATTTAGAAACGAGACACCACGACACAGCCCTGCTTCCCTCCCCATCTCGTGCTTTCTGCTAGAGAGCTGTGAGTATGGGAATGCCCATCTTTGCCATCTGACCTGCTGTGTAGCCCAGAGCAAGGGACGTCTCCATTTCCCTGCCTACATTTGTCCCTCTTGCACATAAACTGTACTGAGAGAGTACTGTGTAAGGCCCTGACATGTCTTCAGGCACTCTTCAAGTCAAGATAATAATTCTATCAATTCAGGACCAAGAAAATGTCTCTTCTGACAGTTCACACACAGCTTTATGGTTTTGTCATGACCCTCAATCCAGCACTGGTGGGCAGAAGACAGATGTACAAAGCCCAGGTTTATGTGGCAGCTCTGTCCCAAGGATACAGTGGAAGCTGAGCCACAAGACAGAGGCAGAGTGAACTCAGGCAAGTTTTTGTCCAACAACCTTCAGTGCAAGACACGAAGGCCCTTTATTTTGTTGTGCTTTTGAACAGTATTAGGCAGGAGCTGACTTATTTTGAGTAAAAATCTGCAACCTTTTCCATCACAGTGAGTTCATTCAGTTAAGCTCACTGTATGCTAGCTTACGGGCAGTTCGTGCTCTGCCCATGCTCATACAACAAGCTGTAGCTCCCTAATTCTGAGAATTAGATTAGTGGACTTTGTTGCTGCCTCTTTCATTCACCGACTGATACAGAGACAGGATTCCCAAACAAGCTACGGAGAATGGAGAGGGATTCCTTAAGGAATGTGAAGAAGCAGAATAAAATTCCTCTGGTGATCAGAAAACTGGAGCCCATCCTGATGAGAAGCCCCACTTAATTTCTCTCACTCTGGTCCAATGTCAGGAAATGAGATCTCCCACAGTCATTTTGAATCAGCCCAAAGCTGTCAGACTGCCCAGCACCCCATGGCGTGGGAAAGACCTTTCCATGTTTTGTTTTCTCCTCCTACAGCTTCCCTGCTCTCTATCAAGCAAGCACGGACCATACATTTGTTTTCTCTATTGGTGTCTGTTTCCTGGGGTACTGCTGTGCTTGCACACCTTGACTTTAATAGCTATTAGTTGTCTATTCCTCCTCTGATACAAAATTAAGTAGTGTCTGCCAGAAGGTTTAGAGAACTGGGACACTACATGGTTTGTAAATGCAGAAATCAGCAATGCCCTGCCCTTTTCCAAAAACAAGAGGTATTATTTCATCAGTGTTTACTGCAGATGAATAAATATAAGCAATCTGTTCTGCAGAGGAGCCAATAAAAATGATTCCTATTTGGGCCGATCTAAAATTTTAATACATTTCAGATGAAACTTTGGGTTGTGGGGTTTTTTTTGGTTGTTTTTTTTTTTTTTTTAAGAATGTATTACATGTAGTCAATCAAACACAATTCACACTATAAAAGATTCTTAAAAAATCTCATTTCAATAAATCACTTTCTTATAACTGACTTTTTTTTTTTTTTTAATCAAAATTGACTATTTTGAAAATTGGACTGAAAAATTGGACTATTCCTGTGGAAATGAAAACGTTCTGTGACAACACTCATCATCCTCAGTAAAAACACGTAATTGTAAAAGCAAAATGTTCTTTTCACAAGATCATATTTGGTGCTTTTATAACTTTCTATGTTTCCAACAGATTGGAAACAGAGTTCACTGCAGGTCTGAAAACCTCGCACATTATTTATTCCATCTAGCTGCAGTGTCAGAACAAGAGCCCAGCCCTGAAATTCTCTTTCCCTCTCCATTCTCCGTAGCTTGTTTGGGAATCCCGTCTCTGTATCAGTCGGTGAATGAAAGAGGCAGCAACAAAGTCCACGCATCACCTCCAGCTCTCTTCATAATGCCGTCATAATGCCGTCATTCATGGTGGGTTTGACTCCTGACAATTCACGATGCAAGAGCAAATGAACCAGGCTAAACAGACTCACTGGTGCTCTTTCTGGAGCAGGGCTGATGAGCACACAGACCACAGACATATGTGGTCTGTGTATTAGGAAAAATATTAGGAAAAGATTCTTCTCAGAAAGAGTGGAGAGGCATTGGCACAGGACAGGGAGGTGGTGGAGTCATCATATCTGGAGGTGTTCAAGAACCATGGAGATGTGGCACTGAGGGACATGGTCAGCAGGCATGCTGGGGATGGGTTGATGGTTGGAACAGATGATCTTAGTGGTCTTTTCCAATATTAACAGTTCTGTGATTCTGTAAACACAAATGGAAAGAGAATTTGAAGTGTCCTCCACCTAAAGCCAGCCTGAGATTCCCGAGAGGGCCACAATATGGGAGTAGCATCTACACGAAGATGGGATTGAGCAGTAGTGATTACAAGACTACCATTTTAAAAGATACAATAACTCATTTTTTGGAAGAGCTCACACAGTTAACTGTATGCTTAGCTAAAATCCATTTTTATCTTCTGCTTTTTCCTGTGTTTTTCATGCCAACGCAGTGATGCCTGGGTGTTTCAGAAATGCCCACACGGGAGTTTCTGAGAGCTGAAATAGGTTTGGGTATCTCAGTTCCTGGGATAAGATGGGTGCTAAACGGGAGCGAGGTTTGTGGGGCCTTCACATTATGGGTCTGGGTTTTTTCTTAGGATGCTCTTTATTAAGACTAATGGAGAATATGCAAATCCGAAAAGAGAGAGAACTTCGTTCTTCAGCTTGGTGTGGGCGAGAGGCCTGTCAACTCCTCAGAAAACGCTGCTCTCACGGCTCCAGCGAAGGCCTCACTCGCAGGTACGTGGTGGGCAGCACCTGGGGAGAACGCCAGAGAAATGAACGTGCGGGACGATGATGTCTTTCCACGCGTGCACTTGCGGGGCCGGCCGTCTCCCGTCCTCAGGCAGCCGGTGGAGGCGGGGCCCAGGCGGGCACCCCCGTTCCTCCCCCGCCGGCGGCTGAGCCCTTAACAGGTAACGGAGGAGGGGCGGCCGCCGCGGGGTCGGGCTGGGATCTGCTTCCTGGGTTTCCTTTCGCTTCAGCGGGGGCATCGCGGGGATCGGGGACCGCCGCCGGGCCGGGCCGGGCGTGCGTCCCGCCCTGTGGCCGCGCCCTCGCTCCCCGTGCCCGCTGACGCCGCGTCCCCGTCCGCAGGTCCGAGCCATGGGGCCGCTGTGCGGAGGGGCGGCGGGGCGGCTGCTGCGGGCGGCCGGGGCCGGCAGGAGGCTGCTGCTGCTCGGCGCCGCCCGGGGCAGCGGCAGCCCGGCGGGAGGGAGCCCGGCTGTCCGCCGCGAGGCCTTGGCCGTCAAAAAGCGAGGCTACGACATCACCAGGAACCCCCACCTCAACAAGGTAGGTGCCGCTTCACACCGCCCTGTAACGCGGGGTGATGGCGGCGGGGTGCCGGCCCCGATGTCACCCTGCGACGTGAGGTTTTGGGTAGGGAACGGCGGGTGTCTGGAGAGGGGCAGCTGGCGGTGAGGGAAGGACTGCTCCAGAGGGAGGTGGGCATGGAGCAGCCTGCCCGGGGCAGCGGGCACGGCCCCGAGCTGCCGGAGCTCATTGGGTTTGGATAGCTCTATCAGATGTAGGGGTGGATTTTGGGTGGTCCTGCACGGAGCCATCGGATGGGCTCAGTGATGTTTGTGGGTCCTTTCCAACTTGAGATACTCCGTGCCATGTGCTGGTGGCTATCTGTGGGCTGTTGGCAGAAGACTTGTGTAGTGGATGCCCTGACCATCCATATTTCCATCCTTGTCCATCCCCAACGCCCAGCCCTTGGGAAATGCTCAGGACCTCTCTCTCGCAGTGTGTTACACTGGACAGAGCTCAAGGCGAGTTGCAAGGGGTTGCCTCCTGGTTTGGTGTTGACTTTGTCCTTTGCAGCTGACCGCCTCACTTCCATCCACCCACTGCTGCTGTGGTGCTGGTAGTGCTGGAAGAGCTTGGGTTGGCCTTCAGCATTTTCTCCAGTCACCCAGTGAACGAAGGGAGAAAGGGTCAGAAGAGAGCACTTCTCCTAAAAACCCAATACCAGCCTAGTATATTTCAGTATTTCAAATCTGCAGCATGGTGTAGATAGTTGATGGGGCTGCGACTACTGATCTGCCTCCTGTGTCATTCTCTGGGCTGTAGACTGGATTACAACTTCTATTTTGTGTAGTTGGCATCTCCAAATGCCATTGCAGAATTCCCAGAGGACAGAGGTGCACAATGACACAGGATTTTATTGAATATGGAGCTATTTTATAGGCAGTCTCTTTGAATCATTAGACGATAAATGTCTGCAAGGCTGAAGAGAAGAGGAATTTCCAACTGGCTCTTAATGCTGATGAATTATTGTTGCTTACATGGTTTGGAGAGCTTTTTCTTCAGTATTTGCCTTGCTCTCTTCATCATACAATGGTAGTTGGAGAATAACATAGCTAATGTTTCTAGTGGCATTATATGTAACAGCTTGAACTGAAACATTAACACTTTGACTATTTCTCAATATAATAAAATGATAACATATAACTGCGGGGATCTATCACATTTCTTAAATTGATCTCACTTCCAATGAAGGACATTCTAAAAAAATCTCTCATTTTGTGCCTTTCTAAAGCATTCATCCCATCACTGAAAGGCAGTATTTCTCTTTAACTTGAATTTCGGTCTGTGTGGAAGAAGGAAAGAAAACTACTTCTGTTGGAGGTAAAATAAATTCTGGTGTGCTCTGTTTCTCCCACCTGTATGTTTGTTGTTAATGTTTTGTTCTTGTGTCAGCAAAGGCCAGACAGCCATCAATATGTCATCTTCAGAGCATTCTAGTGAGAAGGGATAAGGCTGACATCTATGGTAAGAGATACGCATGGAGAGATGGTGCCCCTATGTAACTATCATTACAGTAAACATCTAGGTGCTCTTCCCAAACTTTTCCAAACAGGCTTTCTTTGCTGTTCTTAACAGTTCAATAATAACAGTTTAATAAGGAATTAGCTGCGTTCAGCTGAAGTGGGATAGTTCAACCAGTCTATATGCGGTTGAGGTATGATTGATGGCCATTTGTTCTGCCTTGCTGCAGTGCTGTAAGACAGAATTGACAGGTTTTCAGCTATTGTGATCCCATCACATAGCAACTACTGATTATATCTCTAGTTGCTGGGGGTCATTGCCATTTGTCTGAAATGGACCTTGCTTTTATCTAAGTTTTCATCTGATTGAAGGCTGCTCTGTAGAGGATAGTCCTCACATCTTCTTCAGAACATCTGAAAATGTTTTTTGGAGAGACACTGGGCAGCATGTGTTCTGCTGCTCAATTCAGCGCACTGACTGCTCAGTGGCTTCTGTGTGAAGCTTAAAGAGTCAGTCTAAAACTATGAAATATGTGGCGGTTTATTCAACAAAGTTGACTGAATCCCTCCAGCAGAACCACAGATGGATTAACAGTGTGAGGTTATTGAGCCAAGTCTTTCCTTGACTGCTGTGTCAAAGTTGCTTTTGTTTAGATGTTGAAGTCACTGCTGCCAGGTCCTCTCAGGTACCCTCAAAACCTGTAAAAGGAAGCTGTCTTCTGAGAAGCTCATCTGTTTTCCAGACCTACCCGAGAAGGAAAAAGGAAAAACTGCTGATGGACATAAGTTTGCAGTTATTTCTTTTCTTTGCTCATTGTTTACTCTGTAGTTAGTTGGATTTGTAAGAAATACAAGCACTATAGTAAGCAGAGATAGCAAATGACTTTCTCCTGTTCTTGAATGATTTGGTCAGTCTGTGCATTCTGCATAAGATCTTTCTTGACTAGGATGCTTTGGGGAAAATTTAGAGGACAAAATTGACTTTCAGTTAAGGCATGGCTGGGTTCCATCCCTGGGACTTGGTTCAATTATCAGTTATGTCTCAGACTTTCTTTGCACTGGGAAGGTAATGTGCAAGGAAGTCATGTAGCTTAAATCATGTGGCAGTAGGAAGATGCTGGGAAGACAGAAGCATCTATGCTTCCTCTGTGCTGATGAACATACTGCATGTTTCTGTGTAACTCCAATACAGCTCTTCCTTGTGTTTTGGACTATTACAGCCCATGTGATCCAAGGGCAGGTCTTGGGAATTCTCAGCATTCTTCTCAGGATGACTGTGGTCCTAAAAGGCAATTGCAGTTGTTCTCAGCTGACAAAACAGCCACAGAAATAACAGGAAGGAAGAGCTTGTCACAGGTTTTAATCAAGCGTCTCATAAAGTAGTTCCTTTCCTGCCTTTTTTCCTGCTGCAAAATTGGAAATGCTAAACATTTTTAAAAACATCAGCCACAGAGAACTGGTGGGACCACACTGTGGGGATCCAAGTGCATGTTGGTTCCATTTACTGAAAGCCTTGGCCATGTCTAGGTAAGAGGCCTGCTGCCAGGGCAGCAGTACCCATTGTGACCCATTGGGACACAAGCCTGTCTACAGCGTTGAGGAGAACTATCTTAGCAGCTGCCTTAGCACATCTTATCCGCTTTGTATTTTCTTATGCACCATGCACTATGTAAAGCATCATAATGAATTATCAAAACAGAATTACCAGTCTGCAGCCGTAGAATGAAACTTTCTGAAGAATTGCTGTGGGCTTCTGCAGCAGCGTTGAAATCTACTGTGGCACAGCACACATCATTGAGATGCAGGTTGGTGTGTCCTTCAGATTTCTGGGGATCATAATTACACAAATCAAGGGTTCTTTGACCATGGTGTCAGTAATTTGCCATTGCAGCTGAGACGAGATGATACAGCCTTGCACACGGATGAAATCATCCTAAAATTAGCTGGATTAGTGAAATGATTGCATTTAGACAAAATCAGCAACCAGTACAAGGGCAGTGCATCTGAAATGCCTGTTGGCAAGGTCAAATCAAGGCAGATTCTTCCTTCAAATTATTAAATCTTTTCCCTAAATCCAGATAGTTATATTCTTACAACTAAAGTTTCCTGTTGGCTGCCTAGCAGTCTCAGTAGACATTTACCCACTGTGGGTTTTGAGTGGCTGTGTGACTCCCAGCATTTGTCGACTTCCCATCTGCTCGTGTTTTGCAGTGTAGGAGTGTGAGATGGGCAGAGTTTAGAGACTGTCCTCTTTTTTTTTTTTTTCAGGAGTCTGTATTTCAGCAAAGTTTAAAGGAGACCAAACGTGAAGCGTTGCTGTTTTGGTTGTGGTCTTCCTGTTTGTGGTTGGGTTTCTGTTTGGTTTCTGGGTTTTGTTTGCTGTGGGTTCTTAAATACACTGAAGACACACTTGGCCTAGAGAGTCCCCACACAGAAAATAATGAAGGACGGAGGGTGGAGGGGAAGATGTCCTACTTACCTGTGCTATTTACTCACAGAATCACATGATAGTCGAGCTTGGAATGGATCTCTGAGTCCTTCTGGCCCAACCCCAGCTCAAGCAGGCGATCTGCAGCACATTGCTCAGGTTTAATGTGTGGCTTCAGTAGATTCAGTTCATTGTCTCATTTCCAGATCTGTCACTGTCTGTGATTAGAGATATAGAGATGACGTAGAGATGACATGAAATGTTTCAAGATCTATAGATGAAATATACTAAGAAAACATAAAAGCATTACTGTAATGTAATGGACTTATCTTCCAAGTACTGTGCATCCTAAAGAAAATCATAAGAGATGAACTTCTCTGCAAAGTCATTGTCCTGGACCTGACATGGCCCAAAGCTGCTGGAGTTCAAGGAGCATTTGGACAACACTCTTAATAGTTTGGATTTTGGGTGGTCCTGTGTGGAGCCAGGAGTTGGATTAATTCTTGCATGTCCTTTCCAGTTTGGGATTGTGAGATAATAGTCTGGTCATCAAATCAAGCCCAGAATAAGTCTGTTGGTGCTCCCAATATTGGCACCAGCATGCAAAAGTCCCTTTGCTTCCCCAGCTTGGAGCCCAGCCCCTCTTACTATTGCAGCACCAGGCAGCCCTCTGCCTTCCTGTCCCCCAGCATCATCTCCTGCCAACAGTTGCTCTCTTCTTGGGGATCCTGTCAGTGCCTTGAGAGTAGAGCTAACGTGGAAAAGCTTGGAAGAGCAGAAGCAGCTTAATGCTGCTGAGATGAGTGGAGTGTCTCTGCCTTTTTGTTCATGGAATCACAACCCTGCAAACATCAGTACTTGTTTTGCCTTTGGTGCCTGTAAATGCTATGAGGGGCTTGGAAGTACCTCTCAGGCAGATTTTATATGTGCTGGGTTTATGCTTGTGGCCACCATAAGACACTAAAAGGAATAAAATGTGATTTGGACCGAAGTACTTGTTCGCTGAGCACTTTATACCATAAAAAATGCCTTTAAAATTGCCTTTAAATTGTGGAATGTTGTGAGTTTGGCAGCTGCCTATGCTGCTTTCCTTCTATCTTATGGTTTCTCTAAGAGAAGACTTAATTCTTAACACCACGTGTGTTTTGGTGTAAGGGCAGAGCCAAGGCTGCCCGTAGCTCTTGTTTCATTGGGTGGACTGGGCTTCTTTTGACGCTTGGGTAGGAATTACATTTAACTAATGAACTCTTCAGTCAGTACTGTGAAAATTGATCTTGGCGCATTTAAAATAGATCCAGGGCTGAATGTTACAGCTCGTTCAGTATTCCCATTTATTACATCCAGTGAAATGCATGGCAAACCTCCAGCTGATTGCTTTGGATACTGAAGGTAAGAGTAAGTTCGTTACGTGTGGGAACGGTCCTGTAAGCACTCCTCACTCCACTGCCTCCAAGCCTTGCCCTGCAAGAGCAGCAGGATGCTGTATGAGCTGGGTTCTTACAGAGATATATTTCAGCATCTTTGTAGTGTTTTGTGGCAGAGGATGACCTGGAACAAATTCAGATTGGCTTGATTTTGAATAAATGGAACATAAACTGAATTCGTCTTTAGCTTTTCTAGTGGCCACCTCCAGAGGTACACTTATCTGCTGTTACCAGTGTTAATTCAGAGCTGAAAAGGAAAGGTGAGGTCTTCAAAGAACCCAGCACTTTTTCAGAATCAAGAAATGGAAACTGGTCAGCAACTTCATTGCTTTGATTTGAAGCCTGCTGGTGTAAGGAGCTGCTTGCCCGGGGTCTGGACTATTGGGTCTCAATGCTCTTGCCTCTTCTTGCAGGGAGTTGGACTCTGATCTTTACAGGCTCCTTCCAACTGAGGATGTTCTGTGAAGTGTTCCCCAGTGGATGGGACCTAAATACCTGAAAGACCTACAGACTAATGTCACCTTTCTTACAGAGTTCTGCCTTAGTAAGAGGAGCAGTGAATTGTAATTCCTCTATTTTTAGGTATCATGTTAATAGAATTTTATATAAAAATAACTCTGCTTTGCCTCAGCTTTGTCACTTGAGTTATACTGAAGTTAGTGAGGGTAAAAAGTGGCTTTTTTTTTAGGCTTGTGGGAGACTTGGATAGGGAAGCTCATTTTATACATTCACAAAATGACCTGAGTTGCATAGTTTGACCTTTAATCTACTCTGTCTAGTTGCATATACTTTGCTTCTGTTCTATTTCATCAGCTGACACAATCAAGCACAGCACACAATTTCTATAAATGAGCTTGTGTGCAGCATGCCATGGGATGTAAGAATTACAGAAATTTAGAGTGCAATACATGGGTTTCAACACAATAAAAATAGTTTTTCATATTAATGCACAGCACTAATATTTTTGCCATATTCTGTTTATGTCTTCACACTCCCCTCCTCGCATCCGTAAATAATTCCTAGGTCTCTGCTGAACCTTAAAGTAACCAATTAGTTTTCCCTTTAATAAGAAAATAAACTGGAACATAAGTCATGTTGCCTTCCGTAGGCACACCTTGCTGAGGGTCTGGTGCCGTGGTGCTGTTGCACAGTTAGGACTTATGCCTGGAAACATATGTGTTACTTCGCTGATTTCAATCCACTTCAAGAGAGCGAAGAGACAAATGGCTGTTTTAATTACCCTGGGAGTTTTGAGTCATGGAATCATAGAATCACTGAGGTTGGAAAAGACCTCCAGGATCATCCAGTCCAGCTGTCCGTCTGCCACCACTGTTTCCCACTGAACCATGTCATCCAGTGCAACATGAGCATGCTTTTGATTTTTAACCTCCTCTTTGAGGCCTGGACACTTGCTATCTCTCCCCAGACAACACGACATTCTGATGAATGACTTAGATATTTTCAGCTTAATAATATTTTCTCTTTTATTTTCTAACCGCAAAGCTTTTTATAGTTCTCCATACCATACACAAAGCTCGGCTGTAAACTAAGCAGACTTGGTTCTGACAAAGAAAATAACACCAACACCAAAGTTTTCTGTGAATCAGACCTTTCTGCTTTGCTTCCCTTTGCAGCTCTTGTTTCAACATGTTGAGAAGGGGTTGATGTTCTATGGAACTGAATTTTCAGTGAATTTCTATATTCTGTATAAAAGGTCAGCATTTTTTTTCTGTGTCCAGTTTATAAAGTGATAAGGCTGTTTTGTAATATGTCCGTATGGATTAACTGTGTTCAGCCTCATAAAGCACGCAGTTAGGGCCGTACTGTGTTTTGCAACAGAGGAAGAAGTTGGTTATTTCACATACAGCAGTGTTCTGAACAAGGCATCTTGAACTTTAACTCTTTGGCTTGGCAAATGGATTTGTCATTTCCCCGAGTGCTTACATTCATTACAGAAGCTATTAAGCTTTGTTTAATCTTCATTTCTAGGGTTTGATGTTAAACCTGCAGGTAATCTTAACTATGCTTAGCTGCAAATTAAATGTCATTTTTGAAAGTATCTGCTTTATTAGGGCTTCTGTTTTCAGGGTGGTCTAAGCAAGGGCAGGGGCTGGAGGGAGGAGCATGTTTGTCAGCAGGCCAGCTGATTTAGATGGAGGGGAGAAGAATGTGAACAAAGGGATTTTGATGTTCATAACCCCTCTTTTATCATATATCATATGCAATTTTATCATATCCCCCAATCAGATCAGATCTGTTGGTTCAACTTAAAGACAAAAAACCTCAACCAAACAAGAAAAAAAAACACTTTTTTTCTGGTGAGCCATTTCTTACCCTAGAGGTAACTAAATGTGTTCATGTTGCCTTGTGTGTCTATAGCTAATTGCTGACACAAAACCACATCTTCTCTAAATTGGACCTTCATATCACAGTTGTTGGAGGGACATGAAAAGACACCTTTTCATGAAGGTGTCTAAACCTGGCCATAAAATGAGCCGAATGACAACAGTTGCCAGCTGCAGTAGTAAGTCTGAATCCTGTGAAAAGCTAAATATAATCTAAAAATGTATAAGCTCTTCCCTACAGGTGTGAATTCAGCAGAGTTGTGGAACAGTTGCTGGAGAATTGCTTCTGACATTGGAAAGTCAACAGACACTTCACGTTGGTTGCCCCAGAGCTCATAAGGAAGGTGAGCTTGGACAGATGAAGCAAAGATAGAGTATCACAAAGTGAAATCTCCAACTATGAGAAATACTCATAATTCCACCAGAATAATTTGGCAGTTTTGGTGGTTTCTGGGTGAGAGATGGGATTTTTGCATAAGGACCTGAACATGTATGGAATGATCAGGACATGAGAAAGAATTGAAAATTCTTCCCTCTGCTTCTAGCGGACAGCTTGGCTTGTTGGGTGAAAGCGGTGGGAAGCAATGAATTGGAGATCAACCATGTGTTCCACATAGATGTGTCTACAGAAGTCTTCCAAAGCAGAAGTTAACGCTGATCCCAGTGCTGATGGCTTGCTTTCTGCAGAGACTGCTACTTTATACTCACTAGGAATTTTGCTGACATTGGCATCTTACACGCTTCTCAAGTACACCATGTTCAAACACAAACTTGGTTGCTCAAAGAATAATAAAAGTGGTGGGAGTATGTTTTGCCTTTAAGTTTGGAGCATTTTCAGTGCACGTACCAGTGGGACTTGTTTTTCATTTCACATATGCAACCCTTAAGTTTGGTACACTGCCTAGGTTGTGATGTACAGTGGTATTTATTAGAGGGAGATGCGTGTGACGTGCCTTTACTTTGTGTGCTGATGCCAGCAGCTTTTACAAGCTTATATCCAGGGAAAAAAATGTTTGGTATGGCACAGAGGTCTCTCTAAACACTGCTGTTTGGCTTTCAGAAGGTGGTGTAGGCTTAACCCATTGGGGGGCTTTCCACTGGTTTGTCAGCTTTGAATCCAGCCTTGCTAAAATTGAGGAATGGGAGATTATTTGGTCACGGAAGGATGAGATTAAAGATGGTGTGGTGTGAAATTCCACTTTGTGATACTCTGTCTTTGCTTCATCTGTCCACGCTCATCTTCCTTTTGAGCTCTGGGGCAACCAACATGAAGTGTTCTGTTGACTTTCCAATGCCAAAAGCAATTCTCCAGCTTGCAGGCAAGGAACACTGGACTTCTTCTCAAGAGGTGCTGAACAAAAAACAAGTACACTAAGTGAGACAGCATGGAGAGCTCGGGTTTGCCCTGCAGAGTCCTTGTAGCATCTTCATAAAACTCACCCAAGTGCCTTTGAATTACGACCTTCCAAATGTCCATTGGTCAAGGGTAACTGGAATTTTGAAACCAGAATGAATGCACGGCTGATACTGGAGCTGGGCTGCACTCCCTAAAGGCAAGTAGGTGTTTTGGGTTTAATGTGTTATAACTTCGAATACAGTTAACTAAATCTTTTGTCATATAAATAGAAAAGAAGTGATGCAGAAGTGCTGGAAAGGAGCGGCTAGAGTCTGGCTGCTGCTGGAAAATACCTCTGGTGTGTTGGCCACTTATTAGGAGCTAATTACATTTTAAAGATAAGCCTTAATGGATTTGGCGGTGAGAGTGCAACTGTAATCAGATCTCGTTGTTCTGTACCAGTGCCTTTCAGGTTGCTATGCAAGGTCAAACATCCCATTGACTGGCAGCTGTACTGCTCTGCTTGTAGGAGAGTAACTGGCATTTGGTAGAGTTGCAAAATGAGTTTCCCACTGAAGCCAAATATAAAAAGTATATGAGAATCAAACAGTTTCACTGCCTGCAAAGCTGAAAACCCTTGTAGCATTTATTAGGATTTCCAGCAGGGAATAAGGGATATTAATCTTGTTTAACTTACAGGACCGTAATATTTGCACTGCAATTTGTAATGCAGAGCAAAATTGTTCAAGCAGTGTTTCCTGAGGAACAGCAAATTCAGTAAAGTGGGTGCTTGTAACCTTTTATTTTCATCAGAGGAGTAAAGCAGTTCACAGAACCCTGATGTTCAACAGTGTTGGTGAAGGGAAGAAGAGCAGAGAGTGTGGTTACAAATTGAAGAAGCAAGGAGTAGCTGAAACCTTTCATGTCCTTCTCAGAGTCTTTGTTTGGCATCACTGTTGTTTAATCTCTGAGCTGTGCCACTGGATCATGTGTGCTTGTGGGAGGCATAAACCTCAGTCTTGTTGATAAATCAGTCACTTGGTCAGTCCTCTGCAGGTTTTCATTTTCCTAGTGTTGCCAGACTGCACTGAGGTCTGAGCTGACTGCAATGAACGTGATCTGGGCCCCAAACCAGATCCACCTGAAGACCTGTGAGCCTCTTTCACTTTCTTGGTAATTTTGGGATCTCAATAATTTTGTTTATACGTACACATTGAAATGCTGAACTTCCTTGGATGCAGAATGTACTGCCCTGTCAAATACATGCCAAAGTCTCCATGTTTTTCATCTTTCTGAAGATTTGGAATTTGGTGCAGGCTTCAGGTCAGTGCAGACGTGTGGTTTAGTTTGATGGCAGGTGGATAGTGGTGTTGGCAGCCACAGCTGTTTGACTGCCCAGATTTCAGAGTGTCCCAAGGGGCTTTTCCACAGCAAACTGCTGGTAGCTCATTACTGCATGTCAGCAGGTAGCTCAATGGGAGAGGTGGGCTGGAGGATCAGGGAATCAGCCTGGGCCCCCTGTGGGTTTTGACTACAGCAAGGGTGTTTTCGGAAACTAAGGGATATAAGTTGGATACTGTTTCAAATACCAATTTATGGGAATGAATAGAACAAATTGCACCTTCTACAATCTTTGTCTTCTTCAGAGTTGAAATGTTAGATAAAGAGATGTGTGTTTCCATGCATGAATATTACCCCTTCATGTGTAATGGATGCTGATGTGTCTCATAAGTTGGCTCTCATATCTCAATGATCCGATCAGCTGCACTCTGATCTGTATTGGTAAAAACTGTCTGATAATTATTTTTTTCCACTTCCCTTTTCTGCTCTCCCTGCTGCATCAGAACTGCAGAGCAGAAGTCTGGAGTTACTCAGGCTCCATCAGTGATCAGTAGTAGTTCTTCCATACAATAACTTGCTTACTTTAGCACAGAAGTACTAGAAGTTTGTGGCTGAGAGTAACATTTACATCTCTCTTCTTTTGTTTATGCAGGCTACATACTGAGAGCTCTATCACAGTGACTGAGAGGGAAGGACAGGATTTCATTCTTCAGTGCAAACCAACCCCCCCAAAAGGGCTGCAAAGAATTGAAATCAATCTGAAGAAAAGCTATTAATAATTCTTTTCATACAACCTTACCCTGAGGCGGTTGAGCTTCTAAGGCTGATCCTTAAGAATGTCACCGACGTAGTGACACCATCTCAATGCAGGCGATCGTCAGAGCAGGTTGAAAGATCTCCTCTTTGCAATGCCATTCAGTTCTCAGAGCACTGTGTGTGCACTGTGGTGATAAGTACTGTGCAAACACAAAAGGGAGACATCAGACACCTTTCTGAGACACTTGTAACTTTACTGTAAAATGTATAATTTAATGTGCTGGAAAGCAGTATCTAAAATATTCTGTATACCAAGAGCTTACATTCTCCTAACAAGAGTTTGTGTTACTTTGCAAGGTTCTTATGTTTGCAAGCAGGCTTTCTCTGAGAGATGAAGTACCCCTTGGTGAGACCTATATGCTGAACCTGTGCTTGGCTTGCTGTGCCCTTGCAAGTTTCTGCAGCACACTTCTGCTGCTGCTGGGCTGTGCATGTGAGGAGGATCTGACTTGAGTAGCTCTTGAGACTAACTTGCATCTGGAAAAGATGGAGCTGAGTCACATGTGCACTATGGCCACATCTGGAATGGCCATGCATCTTGCATCTGCTTTGCATATAATCTGTGCATATGCAGAGTTGCTGATCATCTTCTGGATGCATTGGATGTTACATCCACTCACAGATTAACTCTGCATGAAGCCTGTAGCTCTGAGGCAGCTTTTGGATGTTCCTGGGGCAAAGGGAAAAGCCCATACATTTTTATCCCCCTAAAGAAAGATCTAGGTGGAAATGATGAATGTGCCTTGAGATGCTGGTATATGGGAGAGTAGATCTGAAATTTCATCCTTTAGAGAGCAAATCTGTGTGTTTGGTAATACACAAATGCTAGGTGAAAGAACAAGGTAATAGAATTTTTAAAGATACTATTGCTCCACAAATTAAAAAACATTGCTATTATGTAGAAACATCACTTACATCAATAATTTTCTGTAAGTTAAGCCTGAAGTGGAAATGATACTTTTTCACTCCAGGTCAATTCCTTCACTATTCATTCTGCAGAGCCAGTTGGTCAGCTGCCATATTATAGCTCCTCTTATCTCTGCCAGCAGTGATCTCAACCATAGCATGTTAAAGCACGTTACATACCAACTGCTGTGTCCCATACCTCCCATCAAACAGACAACATTTTATAAAATGAAATGCATTTTGTCAAGTATTTCCCGAAAGTGAAGTACAAAACAAGCTGCTGGCAAGCAGATGTTCAGCTGATTAAAACTAAAAAATATTCCTAGAACTTGCATATCTTTTTTTTTTTTAATTAATCTGCTTAGTTAATCACTTGTAATTTCTGTCCTTATTGTGGGGCGATTTAAAACCTCCAGTCACATCGTGTATATTACAAACCTGCATACATCTGAGGTAATTACTTTGTCTGCATTGCTAATGTAATAATTCAAGGAGAAATAAGGTAAGCTGAATGCTCATGCTTTAAACTAGTGGGACAGAAAGCTGAGTGTAGTCTGCTCTTCCTGCTGCTTAACCATCTTACTGGGCAGATGCTGCAGCCAGTGATTTCTTAGAAATCAAGAGATTATTGGCCTCTTTTTCCTCTCATTTTATTTAATGACACCTTCCAGCAATGGTCTAGGACTAGATCCAAAGCAGATTGAATTTGATGGGAAACAAATGAGTAATTGCAGCCCTTTGCTGTAAAGTATTCAGAGTTGTTGTCTTACTGGCTTCATAACATTTAAGAAAGTGCTTTGCTGAAGTGGAGCATACATTTTTGATTTAGTATCCCTCTGCTGTAAGACTGAATATTTCAGTGTCTTCTGGCCAAAGTCTATCCGAGAAGTGGCAGTACAGGAGCACAGCTGGGCTGTAAAGTGAAGGTGATGCATTTCTGCTCTGCATTCAGAGGAAGAGAGAAATAAAACAAGGATAATATTGCAGTATCGTTGAGTACCAGACAGAAGAAAAACAACTGTAAAAACTAACTAGACTTGTAGAATGAGGTTCAGACAACTTACAATGTCTCCAGTTGACATCTGCTTTACTGAATAAATAACAGAAAAAAACTGAAAAAACTTAACTGAAAAAAGACTGAAAACAAATAATAGTCTACAGAGTGACAACAGTCTCTTCAGGTGTCAAAGCTTTTAAGTGTTGTAAATTTACTCTCAGCTTTGCAGTGTTGATATGGATTTTTTTTTTCATTGATTCACTTTCTTCTTTTAATTCAAAAACATATTGGATGAAAGAAAAGACATAAGTTAGGCCTGAGACATTATGACTGATCCTTGTCAATCTCATCCTGCATTCTCTAATGCTAGCATAGGAGTTTGAGCTGTCCTTCCCACCTTTGATGTCACTGAATTTGATTGAAGTATAACTGATTAAAGAGGGTTTGGAGCTGGAGTCTACCCCGAGAAATGGAACTCAGACCTTTCTCCCTCCTGTGGATGTGCAGTAACCCAGAAATAGATGTTGGGTTTTGATTCATCTTGTCTTGGTACAAAACGTAATATTCTGATATGTTTGCCATTTTGGTTTCTACTTATCTTTGCCCAGCTCCCTTGCTCCTCAGTTTGGGAAGTTGGGGGAATCAATCCAAATGTAGCAGTAAGAAGGAACGTGGTAAGTGTTGTCTGCAAAACAGAACAAAAGGAATGTAAACCCTGCAACTATGGCAGACTCACTCTGTTTTCAAGATGCAAGGCCATTCAAAAGCAGAAAGACTGTGCAGTCCTTGACAAAAAAAATGTTGAGATCAGCAACATTGTGTGATTGTTTTTTGATCCTTCTGGAATTCAGATGCAGTACTGAGAGTCAGGAGCTGGGATACAACAGGGTGTATTCCTGACAGTGTGTTCAGAATGACATGCAGGACCCATAAATTCTTCTGAGATCTGGTGGGAGAATTCACTGCTGGAGAGATCTGTGAATAATATGAATGTGGATGACCTGGTTTGTGTGTAAATCCTCAGTGGGTTTTCTATGAGGAAAAATAAGCTCAGAATGTTTGCTTCATGCTGGATCTTACGGTCTTCTAAGACAAATGTAGTGTAGAAATTGGCGGCTTCTGGAGGAAAAAGTAATTTTTAATTCAAGTTATTCAGGTAAACTTGGAGTTTGCAGAGCTGCTTCCTTCTACTGGGAAAAACACAAGCACCAGGACAACTTGCATGCAGATGTTTTTATTGAGAACTGCATAAATGGGATGGAGGGATAACTGATTCTATAATCTTGCATTTAATAGAAAGCTATTTTAAAACCATTTGCACTGGTGCACTGTAACTCATCGCAACGTTGTAATCTGCAATAAGATTTTGAAAAGTACAAATTATATTTCTCCAACGGGATCTGGACAGTTTTAGTATAACTTGGGTACTCATCAAAGTAGAACTTCACATGATATTTCTCTGAAACTGCTTTGTTTCATAAGCACAAGAGTGTGCCTAGAGAATGATTTCTGGCAGATTCTGGCCTCTTTATGCTGAGTCCTAATTCACCCCTGCTGTTCTCTGAAATTAAAACCTTCTGATTCTCTTGCAGGAAGAGGTGTTCCTATTGCCATCTGCAAAATATCAGCATCTTCTGCATCTTGCTAAAATTCTTCTGGCCTCTCTGTACTCATGATTTTTAAAGAACATTCGAAGGCAAATTCTTATCTTCTGTCAAACCTAGAGGTTAAGAAACTGAATATGCCTTGTCATATAAGCAATCCATTCAGCAGGCATTGGTTCATTTACTGTTTCTTATCAGCCATTAAACCACGTTCTTTTTATGGTATTCTGCTGGAGGAAAAACAATGTTTGTCCATTTGTGTATGAGCCCATCACTTCATGCACCTCCATGTAAAAACGTCTCTGTAAAGCAATAGCTCAGCTTCCAAAGGCTGAGTTTCAAACAGTACAATCTGGATGTGTTTGCACATTTTCTTTTAGCGCTCTCCTTTTACAAATGTTGAATGTAGATCACGAGTGGAAAGGCTTAGGGAAATGCATTCATAGCTTTAAGCCTGAATATACCTTCTGTGTGTAATTTGCAATACTTCTGAGAAATCCAAAATATTTCATGTCATCAATACAACCTTGTTTTGAATATGAGATTCTTGTCAGAAAAGGATTTGAAGATAACAGTAAGATAAAGGGGTGGGAATTAAAAATCTCTGTCTTCTAATAAAATGAAAAGAGTAATACCAAAAGCAATTTGGTGTAGTGCCTGTATTTATATTGTACTTGAGCTGGCTTTAAGCACTCCTAGGACCTGGTTCTCTCTGTTCACTTATTCTGGTACACAGCCCAACTTCAGATTATTCATGAAATTCCAATGTCCTTGAGCAGACTCTTTTGGGGAGAAACACATGTTGCCTCCTCTGTAGGCATTGTGTGTCTCTGGGAAAATAGTTGAGAGAAAAGCATCTGAACCTCACAGGGACCTGCTGCCCCACAGCAGATTGGCATGTAAGAGTTTACTGTGGAGCTCTGACTGTATTTGGTAGCTTTCTGCAGTCACAGCAGCCTGATCACCCTGGAAACCTTCCCTATAGGGCTTTAGGGGATAAACCTTCCGTAGGGGCTTTAGGACAGTCAATAAAGCAAGCCTTGAACCTAGCTTTATGGCAGCACTTAGAAAAGTATTTCAGTTTCTGAAATCTTTATTTTATAACATTTTTATTCCAGTGCGTTTACTGCTATACATCTTTAAACCAAATGGAACCTCTCAAAATGATGAAAAGCTGCGCTGATGCTTTACATTGGAGATGGGAGTGAACTCTGCCTAGTTTTCAGGTATAAAATGCCCTGTAGCTGCAGCGCAGCACACTTTGTTGGCTCAAAGATGCCCCATTCATTCTGTGTCAGCAGCCCTCTGCAGCAAATTCGTCCAGGAATCTTGTGCCATCCTGAAGTCAGGGTGAGGATCATTCTCTTACACTTTACTGATATATCGCAGGAGAGCAAAGGTAGAATGAATACACCCAGTCTTGCTTGGGACTCTAGTGTTCAAGTAACCGTTCTGTAATAGGTTATTCTTTATGAGTAATACATGAAAATAGAATTATTCGGATAAATGCTTGCAGAAATGCATGAAGCTTGCCCACATGAGCCTCATGAGGAACAAGGCCAAATGCAAGCTGTTACACAAGGGTTGGGGCAATCCCAGATTGGGACAGTACAGACTGGGAGAAGTACTCACTGAGAGTAGCTCTCCAGAGAAAGACCTGGGAGTCCTGGTAGAAAAAGGTTCAGTGCAAGCTAGCCGTGCTCATCCACAGCCTGGAAGGCCAACACTATCCTGGGCTGCATCAACAGAAGGGTGCAGCAGTGCAAGGGGGGAGATTGTCCCTCTCTCCTCTGCCCTCATGAAACCCCATCTGCAGTATTTCATCCAGATCTGAAGCCCCCAGTACAGGAAGGATATGGAGCTGTTGGAGAAAGTCTAGAGGAGAGCTTTGAAGATGATCAGAAAGATGGAGCACTTGTTTTGTGAAGAAAGATTGAAGGAGTCGGGATTGTTCAGACTGGAGAAGGCTCTGGGGACACCTCATTGCAGCTTTCCAGTACGTAAAGAGAGCTTATAAGCAGAAGGGAGAGTGACTTTTTATGTGGTCTTGCGGTGATATGGCAAAGAGGAATGGTTTTAAAGTAAAGGAGGGAAGATTTAGATCAAATGTTAGGAGGAAATTATTTACTTAGAGGGCAGTGAGGCCCTGGCACTGCTGCCCAGAGAAGCTGTGGATGTCTCATTCCTGGAGGTGCTCAAGGCCAGCTTGGAAGGGACCTTGGGCAGCCTGAGCTGGTGGAGGGCAACCAACCCATGGCAGTGAGATTGGAATGAAAAGATCTATAAGAGACCTCCCAACCCAAGCCATTCTGTGATTCTATAATTTAATTTTAGTCATTTCTTAGGTGTATTTTTTCTCTTTGCCTTCAAATTTCTTGATCATAATCAAAATTTACTAGAAATGAGACATCTTTACTACACATTCAGTGAGGCCATGCAGGCTGTGGAAGCTGCTGAGCAGCAGAGCCAAAGCCCTAAAAATTAAAACTGGGATATTCTCCATGTACATGAAAATAACAAAGGTTAAATTTTAGGTCATAACTCTTTGCGTCTTTAGAAAATATTCTGGAGTCTAGCAAAACTGTGGGCAAATATACAATTACTGAGTGCTGCCTCTTGACATTTTCCAAAAGACAGAACTCCAGACTAATCACAGGATTACTTAAATATTTGGTCACTACATCAATGTGTGGTACCTGATGGATTTAACACAGCTATTTCTTTCAATTCAGCATTAAAAAGGAGATTGTCTGCTAATGCTGACAGTGTTCTGGTTTCTATCCTCCTGGTTAAAATTAATCTACCTTGGATTAACGAGTGCTAAAGAATCACTTGAGAATAAATGGGTCTGTTGTTCCAGGGTCTCCCTTACACAGAAGATTTGGTTGGGTCCCACGGCAGAAGCCGGTGTGATGATGAACATGAAGAAGTGAAATCACAAGTGAGATGCCAGCAGCACTGGCCCATAGTACACTCCCTCTTCTTCCCCTCTGAGAACTTAAAATGGGGTGGGAATTTACAGTTAAGTTTAAGGTTTTAGAAATTTTCTATTCATCTGGCAACCATTTCAGCTAACAAGAGAAGAAGAGAGGAAGAAGAATTTTTTTTTTAATCCAGACACTTCTTGCCACAATTCACTGGATCTCAACATAACTGTGATGTAATCGTTCACAGTTTGCCAAACCTTCCAACACGTCTAGAAAAGCATGAGGAACATGCTTGATTTCAGTTGAGGATTTTCCCCTGGAAATATTTGTTTGTCTTCACTGTGTTTTGTCAGACATCAAGTTTCGGTGGTGCGATGGTGATAGAAGGGGTGTTTGGAACCTTTTGACAATTATTGGAGATTAATAACATAAAAGCTCTTGGAGAAGTGGTGGCCAGAAGTCATTTGTAATTGGCTAGAGCTTTCTGGGTGTGATGCCTACAAGGGTTTTAGGCTTAATCTCTACAATCAAAATCAAATATGATGCCTTATTTATCTCAACATGCAGGTTATCTGTCAGATCTCAACTGTTCGGCTGCTGGCAGCCTTCCTTAGGATATTAATTGACAAACTCATCCCAACGTTCATTTAAAACCACAGCTGATGGTCTGTTTGGCTGTGTGAGCTACTCTTGCTGACATGATTAAATGTTTGCATTCATAATCTGGTTATGGTCTCTTAAGCAGGCTTTGTAGCAGGAGTTCATTCCTGTCTCATGGTAACACTTCAGTCAACACTTTCTGTGGATGGGGCTGCTTGGAATGTTGTGTTGTACTGGATTCCTGCTTAGTAGAATATCTAGAAATCCCAAATGAAATACACATAAGTAGTATGTGTACTAACAAATCTATGTGTGACATTCTTTGCCACAAGGCCAGGTAGCACTGTCTGCATCCATACTGCTAAATCCTTACCCTCTAAAGCAGGCTGTCGTAGTTCCCAAATGGCCAGTCCAAATGTCACCAATACACCAAGTAAAGTCACCAATACAACAAGTGACTGCTGTACAAGCTTTGGTGTTTTTGGGAGGCATCATGGCTTTTCAATTAAAATGTAATATTGGTAGTTACCATGTTTAATAATCAGCAGCTGTTGTACATGTTTTTAATTATTCCCCTACAGCTGTCTTTAATATAATTTAGTATGAAAACTGCAATTCTACTTTCCATTTTAACACAATTTTGTTCTTATTAACAAAGTTCTCTTTAGATCTCAAAATACGGACAAGGGTTTTAATTGTGTGAGTGATTTACCTCACCTGTAGTCTTTTGTTTCACATTACTATTTCAGTTTTTCAGCCAGTTAGCTTCATGCTGTCTTTTTTGTTTTTTTTGCTTAGATGACCCTAGATGCTCATTTCTTCTGTTGGCTTCTTGGTTAGTGTCTGGTGCATGAATTCCAGCATGAACTGCTTCAGGATAGAAGTAGAATTTCTTAGGACCTGTATCTAATTCTATTTTTAAAATCCAAAAATGCAAATGCATCTCAAATTGCTTCACTGTCCCTGATGATGTACTGGGTCATGCTGGTATGTTGCTTTGGAATAGGATGTACAATTAAATCAAATTATTTGCTTCCGCTTTGTTTTTTTCTGTTACAGTGCCTTGCTTTATTAAGGCTTACAAAATGGCGCCTAAAAGTTTACAATATCAAAAAGTGTTGTGATCTATTCGAGTGTCAGTACAACTCTACTTCCCCAAGCCTATATGTCTGCATCTTTTCTGTGGCCTGTATGACAGCTGCTTGCTGATTTTCACACTAGTGTAAAGCTGAGTCAGACTTGAAAAGCATGCATTCAGCAAATGGGGATTTCCCACCCGCAAATTTGTAAGGAAATCTTTAAAAATTCTATTTCTCGTGGGCTACCTCAGCACTGGTGAATCATAAGGAATTACAGCCACAAATTGCAGCTTGATTGAATGGTCTAGAAACAACAAAAACTTCCAGTATTTGAAGAACAATTTGCGACTCCGAAAGCTTATTCATTTTTATTCTGAGTGTAATGATTGGCATTGCAAAGCTCTACTGGAGTGACTGACACATGCCAGGAGCTTGTAATTCTGATGAGAACAGCAACGCATATGGGTGATACAGAAATGGTTAATGCGTTTGCTGAGTACTTGCAAGTGGAGGCTGTTCCTTTGGACTGGTGTTTCTCAGCTTTCATAATAACCATTGAGGAGGTAATTGCAGATGACTTTATTCATGTGTATTGATCTTTTTAGTTTTCAAACTTAAATATTTAAAATATTCCACAGTATCACAGAACTTCAGGGGTTGGAATGGGCCTCTGGAGATCACCTAGTCTAGCCTGGACCTGGTTCTGACCCCTGGGGAACATCATTAGCAACAGGAAGTGGTGGAAGACATCCCAAATCCAAGACAATTAGTCTGATGGACCTCCAAAAAGTAGCCCCTTAATAAATTGTTCTTCATCTTCCTTCCAAAAGAAAGGTCCTTGTCAACAGAAATGTCGTGGGTTGTGTTCAGAAATGAGGTAATGGATATCGTGAAGTTAATGACCCAAATTCAGAGGGAATGTGAAAATTAGCTCTGTGTTGCTTCAAAACTTTCCCTTCGTCAGTGGGTGGACCTTGCTGATTTGGGCTCTGAGTGAACACTGGAGAATTTTCGGCATCTGTGAGTCCTGGACA